TTTATTAATTAATATAAATTATTTTCAAGTTATTTTTCACATATCTCCGTGATTCGCGAATAACGTATTGTGTATATCAAATATACTCTAAGTCCATGATTGAGTTTTCTTAGACATAAATCGTCAAATATGATTCCCCTATCACGCTTTGCGAGTCTTCATTTGTAAATGCATCAAAAATCGTAAATGACTCGGAATTTTGTAGAACATTTGCTAATTTTAATCAAAAGATGCTATTTCTTCCGTATTGTTTTCCTTTTCGCTCATTCTGTTCTTTAATACTATTGCCCTCGCAAGTGGTTTTCCTCCTAATTTTCAAATTTCAATCATCGATAATGAGATTGTATATTACCAATTCGTCGTTTTCTTACGAAATATACGTAAAATAATATGATGTATATGTATAGAAAAATGGTAGCATCTAGTCTGCATATACGTATACATATATACATTATATTACAGGTATCATCATGAAAAAAGGAATTTCGCGCTAATCCACCCCAGCAAATCCTTGTGAACCCTCGATTGCCTTGATGAGTTTATCCCTGAGTTGCTGGTAGCTTTCATAAGGCGGCAGATCAATTCGATTGAAACTGAAATATAATTATTAGCTGATATAAAATTTATACTTAAGTCCAAGTTCCTAATAATATATAGTAAGATAATAATAATATATACGCATTATTTAATCTTTCCTTTTTTCGGCAAAGTGAAATTAAATTTATTAATATCAACTTCCGGTTAATCATTAAATAAATTCTTTAATATTTATTTTTTTTTTATTCGATTTTTCAATTTCAATTTTAAAAAATCACAATTAAAATTAAAGTTAAAATGATTTAAAATGACAGACCATGTTCCATATGACACAATTTTTACCAATACAAAATTTCAGAAAATTATGCATGTTTGGAAATCATTGGACATGTTTGAATGAAATTTTTGTTTTAATTTTATTGAAATATGAATCTGTGAAAATTATACGATTTTATTGATTCAATTCGATGCGATGTAATTTTGTAACTAAAGATTAAAAACATTTTGTCATATATTGTTATACATTTTCCTATTTAGCCATTGAGTAAATAGAAAATAATAAGTAATAATTACGTTGCCAATCTACTTACATCGTTATAATTTTGTCAAGTAACTTTTATTAATCAATTATTATTTCTTATAAAGAGCATGAAAATAATACGATAAATTATTAAGATTAAAAGATGAAATTTTGGTAATATGTGCACTTATTATTTATAAAATGAAATTTGAGATAAAGCGAGTATCACAACTCACCATGTGTGAGCCCTTGGATAATTATCAGGTGTGCCCCATTTCTCTATAGTAAAGAGTTGCGGTCCGTTACTGCCGTAAAGCTCTTTAAAACCATTCATCGGTACCCTCGACGTTCCCGTAACGAACTGCAACAGTCTCGCGCGCATCTCATTGTTGAACGATAACACGACTCTCCAGAACCATTGAACGGTAATGTGATTCGCATGATAATCGCCCTTGTAGAGGGTATTTTGCTTCCAATCCTTGACGTCGATGTGCTGAATACCGCACATGAGAAGCTCCAGTTCGTTCTCATCGAAGATCTTGACAAGGGTTAATGGTACGAGGGCGTTGAAGCCCTCGAGGAAGGCATTCATTTGTTCTTGGACGCGCGATACAAAACGCCACTGGATCACTAGACTTATATACTCGTCCTTGTTGTCATTAGTCACCGGAACGTTGGCGCCATTAGATTTGAGTTCGCGTTGCGACGTATGACCAAAGGACTCCTCGTCAACGCAGAAAGTTAGCTCGAGCTCGCTCGGATCGTTCTCCTTAATCCAGAGGAGAGAGTTATAATATTCCGAGTCGACACTTTCCATGTCCTTTAAATCAATGGTCTTACTCAACATCATTTTGTAGAAAGGTCGAATGAAAAAAGCTGGAAATTAATCATATTATGAAATAATCATACTTTCAAATGCAAAATATAATATTTAAATGAAAATTTTAGAAATTATTTAGCTAATAGATGTAGCAAAAAAATTGCGTACTTTTCTGTACAAAAATTTAACAATTGCTTAAAAATAGTTTTGTAAATAACTGAAAATAATCATAATCACATTGACATATTTTACAAATACTAGAACAATAGATTAATTCTCTAATTTGGCAATGCAGACAATTATTTCTTTATGTCAAGTATATTTTAACGATCGCTTTAATAAAAACTTATAGAAAAACTGTTAATTTCATAATTTTTTATTTTAGATTTAATTTTCTTATTTATAAATTTAACATTAATTATAATTGCTTTTCCATTCGGATTCGGATTCCTTTAGTACATAAAAAAATATCAAATACCTTAATAATAATAACATTACCGACAGTTGCAATTAGTTTATTAAATAATTAAAACTATTTTACCCTAACAATTCTCATAGAGTACTAAAAGTCTAATATATGTATGCCGAAAGATTTTTAAATGCAAGACGATCGAGTTCTAATACCAAAAGATATTCAAGAGATCGATCATAAAATAAATAATAATCATGTGTAATCATAATCATTTTTAAATAACATTAAAAGATAAAATATCACTGTTAAAATAATATTAATAATCTGAGTATAATTATGATAAAATGGCAATAGATATTGGAATGTTTGAAAACAATAACTAATTTTTTATAAAAAAAATTCTAAAATCAATATTATACAAATTCCATAATGAAAATTTATGCGAATTTACGTACATATATGCATGAATAAAAAAAGACAAAAATTCTCTTTGTTAATTAATTAATACAAGACATAAATAAGTATAAAAAAAACTTGATACACAAAGTTGTACAATATGAAACTTTACAACATCTATTTTACATTTATTTTTTAAAAGTTATTCTAATCCCTAATTAATGCAAGAGAGTGAACGGTTAAAATAAATGATAAATCTCCTTATCTTCGGAAATAAACAACGTTACCTCTATTTCACTTGCTAAATTTATGTTTAATATTAGAAAATTATTTTGTCGTAATTCAATATAATTTTAATGTAATAACATTTAATAAGAAACAACTGACCATCCAACAATTTCCCATGGTAAACGTCCAATAAATTTGAAATAATTCAAATGCTCTTCATTGCACACCCCCGAAAATGGATTAATTTGTAAAGTATAATTATCCCTGGACAAAAAGAATGATTTAGTAAATAATATAACAAATCATTAAGATTTATTTTAAATTTATAAATTTACTAACATAGCCGAATATTCAAACAAACCGTAGTATGGATTAAACATTTCTTTAGACAATAAGAAAAACCATTCACGAGCAAGACCACCATAATCAAGGCCTACTTCTCCTTCAAACTCCACCCACAATTTCGTCTTCAATATTTCAACCCTGTTAACAGAACTAATAATTCGATACGAATCCTCCAAAATATTATTACGTCCAACTTTTATTTCGAATTTATTGGGTACGTTGTTCTGAAAAATATTAATATTACAATTCGGCCATAATTAGGCACATAATTTAAATGTCAAATCACTTACTGGTTTTCTTAATTGCGACTTTAAGTATTCGTATTTGCGCTTGTAATCTCTTGAGTATGGAACAGCCTGCAACGAAGAATTATTGTTAGTAATACAGCATTTACAATAAAATATGAAATATAAATTAAAAATTACTGGTCCAGCTATTTGAGGATTTGACATTCGTGGATCTTCCCATTGAGTTGTTCTTGTATCTAGAAAAATATTAAAATATATTAATAAAAATATGTTAAAATGATATACAAAACAATAAAAAAAAATATTTAAAATTAAATATACAAAAACTTATTATACATATAATAGAAAATTAACTCAAAACTTGAGATCAAGTAATATTGAATAAAAACGTCAAATTACCAATCACCTTTACAATTTAAGTAAAACTAAAAAATTAATTCAATATTTATTAGCAATCAATCTTCAAATAGTAAAAATTTAAATTAAATAAATCTGCCTAATGCATATCATTAAAAAATCAATTTAAATAATTCAATGTCCTTAAATAAAAGAATAGTATAAGAATAGTATAACAATTTATATTAATAACAATAATAATAACAATAATAATAATAATAATTAATAATTAATAATAATGGTAGATTTGTTAAATTATTGCTAAAAAAATTATTTACTTTGAAACATTATAATTTTAAATTATATTGAAATATTTCGAATACTCTGATTCTATTAAGTGTTTTAATATTCTAAATATACACAATTTTGAGACTAATAAAAGAATATATGATATATTTTATATTTAAAATTAACACATTAATAATTAAAATTAACATAATTAGCCTATTAACAGTCTACACGGATTAATATTAAATTAAAATCCATTAATATTTATTATGATTCGTAAAAAATTTGCTTTTACAAACGTCGTAACTCTTGTATAATTGAATCGTTTTTTAATAAAACTATTCGCTCATAAAATTATAGATACAATATTGATTTGCTTACTGTGATCGATGAAGAAGATCCTGCCGTCGGTGTGAACCCGCTCCTCCCAGCCCTCAGGCAATTGTCCCAATTGATCGATATCACTTCTGATTGTTGCAGATGGCACATTATGCCAAGGTATTGAGCTTGGCCTTCCCGTTCTTGGATCGATCCACGTCGTGGCTCGCTCATTGTGATCAATAAAGAACATCCGGCCATTAGGAGCCAACTGCATGCTCCAACCAGGTGGCAAGCCTTCGCCATTAAGAGGCTTTGGACTTTCAGCTAGAATCTTAACGAAAAAATTGATCATCCGATGCAGCGTTACAAACGACGATGAATTTGATAATATCTGCCGCCTCATTTTCGCATTTATTTTTTAATATTTACTTATTGTATTTTTATGTTCTTTTACTTTGTTATAGATCAAAATTTAAATAATATCAAAATCTACATAAAAGACATTGAAATAAAATAAATAGGGGCTATAACATTAAATCCACAAACTTACACGATTATTTATGACGTGTAATAGTTTTTAATGATACGATCAATAAAGAAAATTACCTGTTCAGATGATCGCCTAGAACCAGCTGGACTATCTACATTGTCGTCACTCTACAGATAAAAATTACTATATATAATTTAAACGCTAATGCTATAATAAAAATAATATACTAACGATAAGAAAAATTAATAATTCAACATTGCTCTAAATGATTGTAACAACGCGGAATCCATTATTCTAAATAACGTCTAAAAAAAAAAATTATTATCTTGATATATATATATATATATATATATATTACAATTCTCAAACATTTGGTACTTTATTTGTTTATTTATTATCAAATTTGTAAAATTTTTTTCGACATGAAAGAAAAAGAAAAACAATAACGCGATTTTGAGACGAATTACAAATATCTATTCATTTAAGATTAAATTACTCCACAAAGTCATTCTATAAACTCCAAAAAGCAACTATATTTTCAACTATACTAATAATCATCATTTTCTTTGGACATTTTAATTATTATTTATTTTTAGAATTACGTATAGAAATCATGCAAATCATATAATGCCATGCAACTCATTTAAAAGTGGAAAGATTTTCTTCTATTCTATTAAAACTCTTATTCTTTTCTACTCCTTAATAGTGTTTAACTGTATACGATAGTATTGTACGAAATTCTTATTTATTCACATATTATAATTTTAATTTAAAGTTAATGATATTCATTTTACCGGTGTGATACTGATACCAGAAGTTCTTTGTCTACTCTCTGCATCATCTACACTAATATGAAAACGTCTTTGAAACTCTGTAGTTGCAGTGTCTAAATTTCGTTGTTCTTGTGTTACGCCACCACTTGGCATAATATTCCTACAAAAATTAATTTATTACAGATGTAATGTAAAACGATATAAAATAAAATAAAGTAGTCTAATTTATAAAAATATTTATACTATTTCAAACTAATACATGGTAATTTTGGTCAACTATTCTCATTATATATAAAAACAAGAAATAAATTCATTCTTTTATCGTAACTTACGCTACAGTAGGCCGTTCCCATTGTGTAAAACGTGCTATATGATTAACATAATACGTTCGTCCATTAGCATCTTGTCTTTCTTCCCATCCTGGTGGTAATGGACCATTTGTCTAAATAATAAAAATATTAACATTACTCATTGGATTGCATTATACTTGTACATTATACAATTGGTTCTTATATTATTATGTATAGGGTAAGATTTGAGGATTTTACTTAGCAATTATAAAACCATTTTTTATAATGTGACAATGAATTTTACATTAACTCAATATTCGTTAATAAAGTAGTAACTTGATTTATAACAATTTTATATATGCATGCACATATATTTATATGTATATATTATATTTCAAACATTGCAGGTATTGCTTATTACTTTTCCCAAAAGAATTAAATGCTAAAGTAGATGAAATATATTTAAACCTCGGATCCCTGTTCTTCTGGAGTTAAGTTTGATGTTGGTGTTGGTTGATCTAAAAGTTCCCACCCTCCAGAATCGGATACTGTATCTCCTTCTCCAGTGTCAATAGCACCGTTCGTATCTGATATATATGCATGATATATTTCTAAAGTGCCTTTTACCTTGGACCTTTGATTTGTACTGCAATGTTCAAGTAAACGAATTAATTCTACTTATTCTCTTCTAATTTAGTCGTTAAAGATTACAACGCATTATATCTGGAATGTTGAAATAGTTTGATATTTAATATTATTTTAATCTTTTAAAGTTGATTGCTCGCATTCTTAAAACTTCTTATTGTTACTATCAAATAATTAATGACGAAACTATTTAATTTACAGTTCCTTATTTGCAAAGTGCACTAAGATTTATATATATTCACATTCTTACATACAAACAAAATATTTTGAAATTTTGTCGTATAATTAAAGAAACGTTATTATTCTAATGATAAATCCTCTTACGCGTGTCAAGTAACAAATATGAAAACGAGTGATATCAAACGTAGTAATAAAAAAAAATATATATATATATATATATATATATGTGTGTGTGTGTGTGTGTGTGTGTGTGTGTGTGTATATTATAAAAATAATTGTGATCTAATTTAAAAATAAATGTGCTTCTTGATTAGAAATTATTTATTAGTAATTAATTTACTTTTGTTATAATTAATAATCTCAGTGAGATCAATAACTCTTCGGTATGAGTTATCCACTTTCTAATTATATTTTTATGTATTTTTTAAATATATTTAAAATTTTATTTTATAAAATGCTTGGAAAAAACTTTACTAGGTAAAAATAAACATCTAATACACACTTTCTTTATGAAAATTTAAATAAACATTTCTAGAGCTAAAAATAAAAAATTGGCTACTCGATTAAAAATTTAATATACGTACTTTCGAGGTCGCAGAATATATTGTTTATTTGGAATGACTCTACCTTCTTGTTCTTTTGGTAAATTATTCAAAGTCAATTCGACCATACCAAGAAAATCATCTCTTGTTAATCTATTCTCATCAAATACTTGTAGCAGAAGTTTATGTTCGAGTGGTTTTACCTACAAATAAAAATAGAATATTATTGTATATATCAAGTTTCAGGAGATTAACAAAAATTAAAATCACATAAATCTTTTGTTATATTCTTGATCAATTTCTTAACAATTCAAGGTTTATAATATTAAAACAAAAACAAAAGCAATAACAAAACATGTAATAAAACGTACATATATTTCAGTAAAAAAAAAACTTCTTACTCTGAATATAAATTCTTCTCCCCATTTAGGATTAAGAGTTTTTCTTTTAGTCTTTGTAAGTACAGAATCTACAATTTCATTTCCATTAACAGTATTTAACTCTATACGGACGTATGGGTCACTAGCTCCAAAAATATCCTTCCTAGCTAAATTATGTCCTGCTTGTACCCGTAGCCTTAACCTGCTTGTAGCTTCTTCTCTCTAAAAATACAAATTTATTAAAAAATATAAATCAGAGTGTACTAACGCATTATTGGAAATAAGAAAAATTCAATTTCAACCACTGTAATATTATAAGGAAGATATTTTCAACATCCATTCAACAATGGGTTCAACATTTAAAAAAATATATTTAAAATATTTAAAAAAAAAAAAAATAAAAAATAAAAAATAAATAAAAAAAAAATGAAGAAGAACGAAAGCAAGAAAGAAAAAAAATCGATTCAATTATCATTAAAAGATGGAAGGGAAATATAAACATCAAATCAATGATTTTATTGCAGAATTAAACTAGTGTATTTATAAGAAATAAAACGTTGGATTATAAAGAATATGCAAATTTTATTATAAGCTCAATTTTACTAATGACATTAAAAGTTCGATTCTCTAAAATGAACAGTTGCAAAATATACTTTGCACAAATCTTATTTGCAGAAAACAGTTATTCAGTGCTAAGGCAAGTATTTCGGATAACTGTCATATTAAAGAGGAAAAGAAAAAAATTAAGGCGACATCAATAGTCTTCCGTCTAAAGGTAATTCAGAGATGGAAAAAAACATAATAATAGGCATGAAAATTTGTCAAAGCAAATTACGACGAGGGGCTTCGTTACTATAAAATCCAACCTGTAAGTTCTGTCAAACTGTCAAAAAGCTTTACATACGTCGTTCCCATCGGCGCCGACTGTCGGATTATAGCCGTACACATTTTCCTCTGCCATTAACGAGACGTGCGAGTGCGAAAATTTCGCCTGACTATCGCGTGCTTTGATGCTCCGCTTTATCACTTTCCCCCTTTGTTTCCCCAGTTTCGGTAAATTAATAACGGAATTCGCAATTGCAATTGTAATCCTTGGGTGCCATGAAGAAACCTATTTTGTCTTACCAATAACCCCACTACGTCACGAAATATCGCGAGAGAGACGGATGTGACATATGTTGCCTATTTTAAAGATGGCTACCTTCCCCTTTTTACATGATTCAGCGTTGCCAGTATTAGAATTGTACATAATTTTTCTTTTGTGTTTTTTATTTATGCACGACCAAAGTTTACTACATATTTGATCATTCTTTTCTCTCTCTCTTTTCTTTTTATGTTAATATCAATAATGTTTCTTCCGTGAAGGTAACAATTGTTTTTTAAGGTTAGAAATACAATTTGTTATTGAAGCAGCGAATGCTATTTGTAAATAATAATAAATAGGTAAAAGTGGAGAAACGATCACCTTTCTCAATATTTATTATGGGACAAAATTTAACATAATCCTACCGATTAGTCCAGTAAACATTATTAACTATATGACTCTTCTTCGATTTAAACAATTGTTTATTATATTTATCATTGATCATTTAATTGGCGGTATCGTTTTTGGCCTTGTTTTTTTTGTTTTTTTTTTTTATCTCTGACCGTACATAAAGTCTCTCGGTGTGCGATTTCTTATCCGACAAAAGCAATAAAGACTTTTGCCATACTCTTTCTAGTATATAAAGGGTGTCCGTTTCTGATTGAAAGCATTTTTTTTTTTTTTTTTTTGTTGCAAAGAAAACGAACGAAGGGCCTTCGAAATATTCATAATCCATAATACGGCAGCTCTGATTCAATCGCGCGTGATCTAATTAATCGGTCGAATTCAGGGACAAAAAAAAACTCCGTAAGAGATAACTATTTACTTTTACTCCTAATGACTTCTGTCAGATCCAAAAAAACAACCCCACCTCCCTATCTCATACGCGCACACGCACACGCACGCACACGCACGCACACGCACACACACACACACACACACAAATCGTAAAAAAGAGACATATACATGCTTTCTCTGTTCCTGAGTAGTTCCTTAAACGAACTATGACAAAAAGACATCCAAGAGATTTAATTCTATTGATAACGTCTAATTTTTTGGACATTAAGATAAATCCATCGATCGAGAAAGTTAAGAAAGATTTTATTCATCGGACTTTGACCCAACAAGCAACTCGTTCATTCTACTGCAGCGATAAGAAAATGTTTTTCGTTTTTCTATCTTTCTCGTCAAACGACTGCACTCATCAGACAAATATCTCGCCAACCCTACCTTAAACACGGAAATAGAGAGGGAGAGAGAGAGAGAGAGAGAGAGAGAGAGAGAGAGAGAGAGAAAGATTGAATAATGTGAAAAAGTCTCTGTCGCAATTGACGACTAACCTTACGTTACGACTGTCGCTCTGAGCAACGCACCAGGTGGTTGTACCCATACAAAGTGTAACGATATAATTAATAATAATTTTTATGTCCTATAATTTAATCAATTAATTTCACGTGTGTATTTATGCACGCACACACGCACACACCTATATATATTTGCGTACTAGTGTGCAAGCGCTTGTGTTTACGGCTTTTAATAAATTGACTGCATTATATTAATTGTATCAACGTTAATATTATTGATAATTTAATAAAACTGCATTTTGAAACTTCCCTGTCAGACAGACGATACCTTCTTCTCGTTTCTAAAATTTGTCAATATATTTAAATACATGAAGTAATTAAATTACAAAGTACACAATGAATATTTAAGTAAATTGTATGAATAATAATAATTGCAGCTTGAGTAAACAGATATTTTTTTTTTTATTTTTCGAAAAGACTATTATTCCCTGTCAAACGTTTCATGTTTCTTCGGCAACACTGTCAAACATTTCAAAAAGTCTTTTATCATGTTTGTGATATGTTGCTAATCATACTAGAATAATTTTCAATGTCAATGTAATTTGCACATTGATTTTCCATCATTTTATCGCGTTTCGTTGATTTTTCTTACGTTTACGAGAATAACATCATTTTTGTAAAGCCTTAGCGTTATTATTATGACTGTAATATTCAGTCTTTTAAATAATCTTTAGGAAGAAAAAGAGACTGAAATAGATGTCAAATTAAATAAAATTCCGTTGGTATTTGGAGTTCGTTTGTGCATATTCTTGAAATATTGGTATGACGTGTAGAAGATATAACAACAAAGCGACTAATTAAATAAATGTGTTTAACAAATGAAAAAAAAATTTGTTTATTAAACCTAAGCTGGTATTTGAGGTAGAGATAAGTGAATTTAGGCGTATAGATATAATATAAACAAATACCTTTTAATATTGTACTTAAGCTGCTTAATTTTATTGTATCAATTATTGCCAAAAATTTTATTAAAATTGCACAAGTTCAAATACGATCGTACTCGTAGAAATGAAATAAAAAATTCTTTAATCTTCTGAAATTGATGAAGGTTAAGAAAGAAATGATATTTTCTTACACCAGGAGGATTGGTCAGAGACACTCTGGATGGTCTAACATTAGTATTAGGATTGTTCATAAAGCGATGATGGTGTGTCCAGGAGTGTGCTCGTCGCCTAGGCTGCGGTGGCTCCACGCAAGCATACATTGGGTATGTCAGAGTGCCTGGCATTATCTCCTAAAAGCTTATTAGTACTAAAATTCAAGTTTTTTGTTTTGCAAATTGAGAAAAATTTATGTATGTTAAAATCATATATAAGTATAGAAATTGTTATATTTTCAAAGCAAACTGTCTAATTTTTAAGGATTTGTCGAGATTATTATGAGAAAGAGAAAATAAAAAAATAATAAAAAAGAAACAAAATCTGTATAACAAACATCAAATACTCTCATTCAATTATCTAACGAATAGTCAATAAACTAAACAATAAAATTCGATAAATAAAATATCAAATACTTTTGGATAATGTTCTTTTTATTAATACATAAAGCTGTATTGTTATCTGTTGTTTCGTTCCATTTTCAAAAATCATACTCGTATTTCCTGTTAAGAAAAAGAATTCTTTGTCCTTCATTAGATATTTGCAAGATAGATCAAATACTTAAACTGTTCATCTAGTAATCTTTTAAACAACAATTGATAAACAAATTAGGACTGTATAGTATGATTTTTGTTTTTGTTTTGTTTGTTTTTTTTTTTTTTTTTTTACGAAGTTAGAGAATAAAAATTATCTATCGTTGCTACACTGAATTATTATGTATAATGTTATCGGATAAATTGAAAAAGTCCCAATACACGTCTCATCGTATATAAAATATATCATTTTCCATACTAATATTAATTTTACAAATAAGTATTTCTATAAATTTACAGAAGCTGAATTCTTGATAAGATTCACTTTGGCTCTTCAAAACTTTCCTTTATCCATATGGATGTGTAGCATTGCTCCATGTGATCATACACTACATATTGTCCTTTTGCCAATAATTGTTAACGAATAATTTCCATAAAATATATCACGAAACATCACTAAATATCAAGAGTCACAAAACTTCACCAAACATAAATATCAGCAATAAATGATAAAAGGAGAATAAAGAGAAATTGATATCTGCAATAATAAGGCGCTTCACATCGTTGTTATGTAAAAACAAAAAATTTTGCGTGTAACTGATAGAGTATTGTCGTTATTGTCACTGTAGCATTTTCTTCGAAATTTATTCGACACTTTAGCAGAAGAAACGTTACGTTTTACGCACTTTGTTGTATAAATTTAATACGGCGCATTTATTAAAATTCGTTAACACAAATCAGCCATTTACTATTCGAATACACTGAATAATATAAAATTAAACTACTTCGTAATGAGAGATAAGAAATGGCTTTAAATCATAATATGATAACGCGTACTATAAGCTTCGCAGAAGTAAGTGAGAGATAAGTATGTACCCAATATGGTCGAACGGCTGACAAACGTACACAACTTATCGGAGTATTGACAAAAAGAAAAAAAAAAAAAATAAGAAAGAAATAAAGAAAGAAAAATGAAAACAAAATAAAGAGACAGACAGACGGAGAGAGTGTGTGTGCGTGCGTGTGTCAGCGAGTGTGTGGATCGATGTAACTCGTCGATGACAATTACGTCGACTGCTCCTAACGAGGTATGAACGAGCATAAGAGAATATCTTTGAAATTCTATTCAAAGACTTGCAAAAACAAAGTTATGCATTAATTTTGCATAAAGCGCAGATAAATATTTCTCGTTCGGTGAATAATAAAGTTTTGGTACAGAGACATTCTTAATGGCTCTTTTTATTGATGCATGAATGAACAGTAATTAGTGATATGAAGTGAAAAAAAAAACAAAAAAATGAATGAGCAAAAATTCCACTGTAATTATTTGTTTAATGAGAAATTAATAAGAAAGCTTACACAAAATCAGTTCATGGATGACAATAACTTTCACTATTATGCATAAAATATGAATAAATTATTTAAAGTTCAATTAAAATTAACGCTTATTTCTCGGTAGAACAAGAAGAGAGAGAGAGAGAGAGAGAGAGATAGATAGAGAGAGAGATTTAGAGAGAGAAGAGAGAAGAGAAAAGAGCAAATAAAAAAGAAAAAAGCAAATATAAAATTATGGTTTACATAGCAAAAAATTAATTAGCATTCGTACACTAACGTAGAATTACATTTCTTGGCGTGGATTGATTGACAAATAAATCAGCTATCTGGTTATTTTTTTGATTTTGTTTTTTTTTTTTTTTTTTTTTTTTTTTTTTTTTTTTTTTTTTTTTTGAAATTGACAAAATTAATAAGTCAAGTGTTATCTAAAACCCATAAAAAAAAAAAATGTCATCAGAAGGCCGCATAACTCTGTCAATATTGAAATACAAATATAAATCATGTACATTCCACACGGTTATGAATTACTTTCGGTTAAGTTTTCATATTACGAGCTTTTACGCATGTACAATTGATAATAAACCCTGGCTAGAGCTTTCATTATGAATAATAAAAGCTTGACGACGCGCATTTCAAAAGACCTTTTGCCGATTAACAATAAAATTTGTCAATGTCAAATATCGGGAAATTCCCATTCAATTAATAAATGATTGTTATATATTAGCAAATTCATTATTTATAATTGTAAACTAAAAATAAGAAAACAATTAGCAAGTACTTAAGAATGCTGGCTTTTATTATTAATAGTGTTTGATATGTAAAGTAAATCTTATAAAGTTATGAATGCAACGATGATTTATACAAATAAAATAATAGTTCACACGGTACTTTCCATCCTGATTCAAAAAGATTAACATCAATAGCCGCCTTTCCTTGCGCACGAATCGAATCGAATCGAATCGAATCGAATCGAATCGAATCAAATACAAAGGAATACAAAGTCCACGCTGTATTTGGCCACTCGCATTCGAGCCAATTGCATTAGCTATTTGCAAAATTCGCTCGCTCGCTCGCTCGCTCGCTCGCTCGATTAAAGCGATAACGGGGGCTGCTGATGCTCGTGGTATGTTGAGCGGGACGGGCGAGGTGGGCGGAGAGGGGCGAGGCGCTAAGTCGGCTGCGTCAACAACAAAAAACATTTGGAGCCGAAAATCGAGGCTTTAACCGACGCGCCAAGTCCAAGTGGATCTTCTTAGGCTCAGCGTTAACACTATCCGGAGTAGTAGGAGCACTAAAGCTTCTAGGAGACAGAGACGGCTGTTAATGTATTCGAGGACTGTATGCATCGTCCTCTCCAACTTGCCAGGGCGTGGCGCGATCAACGCAGTAGTCCATCGAGTAGTCCTCTAGACGAGCTAGGAGCTGTTCGGATGCAGGGGAATGACGAATTTTGGCCCAAAGGGCGACCGATAAGTGATGCCGACTTCGGAGAAGAGTTTGTTGGGCAGGGCGAGATTACAGAGGTAGAGTCTACCGTTATCGTGGCAGTGGGAGAGCGGGAGCCCGGAGACGAGGCTGTATTTGCAAACGATCCCGGGCGTCCCGTTGGACGGCGGCTCGATCGCCAATACCGAGGCTCGATTGTTGCTCGCCCACTTGGCCACGGGGGTGACGCACTTGGGTGAGCGCTCCTCGCATAGGGCGACGATTATAAGATCCGTCGCCGCGGGCAGTTTCTTCACCTCGGTCTCCACCTTGTGTCCCGTCAGCCGATACAGCGACAGCTCCTGCAGCACGAACACGTCCTCGGAGCTCTCGACGTAAATGATCGTCTTGACGCCGTGGCTCGACAGCTGACGCGCGCAGTTGATTCCCGCTGCTCCGGATCGATGCGGACCACAGAGCACCACCACCGTCGGCCACTGGTGCGCGTTGTTCGGGCTAAGCCGGTGGGCCCCACCCAATAGCTGGAGGGTTATCTCCGTGCCAGCGCGGCCCAGCAACTCCACCTGTGCATCAAACCACGCGTGCTCTCGGTTAAATCGCATAGGCATTTACGAGGATGTCTACTCCGTTTAAGGCTGTAAGCGTTTAAGGGAAACGGCGTATTCTTACTTGATAATGGTCGATAGTGCGACTAGGGAATGCCGCGATAAGGAGCTTGGATTATGAAGGTTGGCTGGCGCTTGCGGTGCCGAGGGTCGAGGGTCGAGGGGTGAGAGAGGGGGGGGGGGGGAATGGGGGGGGGGGGGGGGGGGGGGGTTGATGGGGGGGGGAGGAGGAGAGGTCTTAATGTAATGGGGAGCGGTGATGCGGTTAGGTCTTGGCTTTGCGTTAGGTTCGGGCGATTCGTGTCGAGGGTTTAAGAGTCAATGAGCAATGTAAATTATGATCCCGGTTGGGCTATGGCTCGTGGGATAATCGCGGATGTTGATACTTACCCTTCTCTCCCAGCTGATGCCAAGTCGGTCGGCGGCACCTATCAATTGCCGTTGGAGGTCGAGTGTTACGCTGGGGATTATTAGGCCGTCGTCGGTGACGTATTCCTTAGGACCAGCATTGGGTACGACGATTTGCCTGAGGGCCAGAGGTTCCGATTCTATAACGTTCTCGTCGTGCCTGTATCTGGCCTTGTTGCCACCTTTGTTTTGAGACTGTTGAACAACGTCGGGCTTTTTGGAGTTGATTTCTTGCCACACGGCCTGCAAAGGAGTTACTTAACTTATAATTTATCCAAGATTTATCCAAGATTTATCCAAGAGCAAAACAAGACGAGCCAACGAATTGTTTAGATGCCTAAAGTCTAAAACATTGAGACGCACGTTTGATAATTAAGGTAATTTGATCCGTTTGAAAGGTTTAAAGTTTTTTTTTTGTTTTAGTCGAAAGGTTTGCTTATAATTAAATTCCAACCTCTTTATTGAATAGAGCCAGATTTTTCTCAAAATCAAAGTCTTGATGCAAAGATTGGTCGATGGGTGTACCGAAGGCTTGCTCGTCTCTCTCGCTCATTCTTCGCCTCAATGTTCCATCCCTCCTCGATAGAACTATATGAAATGCAAGAAGGGCTCGATGTAATGAAAGCAACAACGACAAATATACTATAACGTAGCTAATAGGCAAGTTTAAAGTTTTTGAATGCGCAAAGCCAAATAATACTAATAATTTTATGCTCTTAATGACCAGGTTTTCCATTTGGTACTGTCAGGTCCGTCCAATCCTTCCCCTCTGGCAATAGTTTTTTCACACTTGGAAGTACTGGAGGTGGTTCAAAAATTGGTACAGCGTATTCCGAGATTGTTGTGCTAACTTTCTTAGCGATTGGCCTTTTAATGGTGTACTTACCTTGAGGTTCCTGTCTGACCGGAGCTGAGTACTCTGTATTAATTATATATACGTTCGATATATCCTTAGCCCTAAAAGACATTTAGAAGATTTAATTTGGAATACAGAGGGAAACGCAAATGGCACATTACACACAATATTGGCCAAGAATGGAAAAGTAAGATCTTTACGAAGGTACAAATTACATATGGTAGTCGGTTAAAAGTAAACATTAGCTTCGAATATTGGAACAAATTTCGCTGTAAATAAAAAATTCAAACCTTAATCTAACGGTTGGACTACTGTAGGGTTTACCGTTCCAAAATACCCTGGTAAGTGTGACCAATTCATCCGTCAAAGCGATGATTTCACCCTGATAGCTTCCCAAGTCATCGATACATTTAATGGAAACGGTGGATCCCACAAAACGATCTGACACTGACATTGTGAATCGCACTAAAATAAAAAAAGGTACGAATTTGTGACGCTCGTAGTTTAAACGTTAAACGTATTCTTTACAATTTCAATCATAAATTGGCTTTGATATACAATATAATCGAGCGTAAATACGATAAACTAACGGAAAATAGAAGCTCTAATTTCCCAGTCTTGATAATCGGCCAACTTTGTATTATCAAAAGTCCTTCCTGCTCACTCTCTCTCTCTCTCTCTCTCTCTCTCTTTCTCTCTCTCCCTCCTCTCTCTCTCTCTCTCTCTATCTATCTATCTCTCTCTATCTCTCTCTCTCTCTCTCTCTCTCTCTTTCTGCGAAGTGCGTAATATTTTTACAAACTACAGTGTAAAAAGTTTGAGCTAGGCGACGACTTTCAGCCGACGTCTGAAAATATAAATTCACCGGTGATCACTTCAATAAGTAATGCTATAAGAACATAAGGTTAAAAAATAAAACGCAAATGCAAACGCATACGTATGCTGTATATAACCTTTTCGCTGGAAGTAGCAAAAAGGTATTATTTATGATGCCAGATACTTTTCTACAATATGAAGACAGGAAGCGCCGAGCAGCGACACTGAGCGAAAATATACAAATGCAATGAAAAGGAGAGTGAAGTGGATGGAAACACGGTGATAGGATGGGAAAGTAACTCTACAACAGCCAGTGTCAGCTTTCATCGTTCCTGACGGCGGCGCATCAAGCATTTTACGACATGTGCGCATCCAACTTCACCGAACCCTCAGCGCATGGTCCAACTCGTCACTTTATCTCGTCAGACCATGAAATTTGACAGTCACGTAGCATTGACAATTCAGTGGGTGCAATGTAATTTACGCCGATTGTTGAAGGTCGAATAAGCATCGTAGAGACCGTGGCATCGGGTTAGCCTTCTTTTATTTTTAAACTTAAATGTTTAATCATTAATGCCTAAAATTTTAATCGTTAATTTTTAATGGTTAATTATCTGCCGAACACGCATGCTCAATTGTTAAAATGCATCGGTTAGTTGGTGGGTTGGACGAGATGCATCGATTTGTGTAATGTCGGCTCGAACGGACGAAATTTCAAATTCTGAGCCAAGCCGATGCTCCGCGCTCAATGACGAATTTCATCAGTAATTTAATAAAAGATTGGCCAAACGCTATTTACGTACGTGGAACTCGATCTTTAGTGCAGGATGTGAGTTCTCAAATTTTTATATCCCAAATGGATCATTTTCCTTTTATTCCCTATGCTTTATAGCCCAATAAAACCAATCTCTTGTGCCAAACACGTGGGAATTTTATGATTACACCGAAGGTTTCACCCTCCAACGAAGAAGGGATTACGGATGCCCGAGTGCAAACACCTATACACGTACGCGCTCTCTCTCTCTCTCTCTCTCTCTCTCTCTCTCTCCCTCTCTCTCTCTCTCACACACACACACACACACAAGAATTATCGAAGGCCGACTTCTCTCCTAATGAGGGATAAATGTTAAATGTTTCTTGTAGGAGGTCGAAACAGAATAGGTTTACCTACTTTGTACATATTTTAAGGATTAGATAAGAAACAAAAAAAAAATATTTCCCCCCTTTTTTCGACAATTCTCTTCGCGTTTATTTATTTGCAATTGCAATAGCTCGCATCGTAATAAATTAATGCCGTTTAATTAATTAAGTTACTCATTGATCTGCTGTGATCAATCGATCAACTTTGATAGAGTCTCGGATAATTATTTTCATCGAGCGCAAGACTAACGATAACTAAGTTTTTAATACGTATTTGATTAATCGATCATTCGCTCGATCACTCGCTAAGAAAGTAATGCGAGAACGAATATTTATCGTATAAATTATTTTGCACCGCCAAACGAAGGCAAACCAATAAAACTCTGCCAAATACCTCCGCCAATCGCTTGGATATTTATTATAAAAATTTTAATCAACGAAAATTAATCTTTGAGCCCAATTAACATAAATATTCCAGATTGACCAGATGCGCAATTTGTGCGAGGGTCCATTTTTCTCTTAACTGAGACTAAAAGTCTTCAGCCCTTGGATAGAATGAAAAGAGAAATCGTGTTCTTACAACTTGATCTTTTTTTTCTCGTTGGGCGGGCGGGGTGGGGCGGGGAGGCGCGAGGGGGGGGGGGGGGGAGGG